AGCTTGGTTGCTGATTGAGCTAAGGTTGTTGTACAGCGGGAGTTACGGTATTTTTGATACCATATTGTTTTTGTTGACCCCCTTTTCCACTTACAGAGCTAGGTTATTGTTTTTCTTTGAAATAAATATTCATGTAATTTTATTGGTATCTATCTTCATTTTTTACATTTACCAGTAGCTGCCTCATTTCCTACCCTAGGCTTATACTCGAGTCAATATTTTTTCCCAGTTCTTTGTGGTAGTTACGGTATTTTTGATACCATATTGTTTTTGTTGACCCCCTTTTCCACTTACAGAGCTAGGTTATTGTTTTTCTTTGAAATAAATATTCATGTAATTTTATTGGTATCTATCTTCATTTTTTACATTTACCAGTAGCTGCCTCATTTCCTACCCTAGGCTTATACTCGAGTCAATATTTTTTCCCAGTTCTTTGTGGTAAAATTAGGTGCCTCAGCTTATATTCGGGTCGGCTTATACTCGAGTATATACGGTATCAAGTCCCAAAAGAAGTTATATTCTTTCTAGGTCCTCATCTAACTTTAGGGACCATCATCTCAAGTACTACTACAGCTAGACATCATTGCTTTAATATCTTTTAATGTAGATGGGATTTTATTTTTCAGAGTGTAAATCAAATATTTAACTTGAGGTTTCTGCAATATTACTTATTAAATATTGTGGATATATTTAAGAAGGGAGGGAAAACATGGCAATCAAAATTACCCAATTTTAAAGCATTGATGTCAATTTATTAAACACGTTCCAATATTTTTAAGATTTAACTTTTTAACTCTGTAAAATTTCTAACGGATTTATAATGCTTAGAAGTAAACATATCTCCACTGATTCACAGACCCTTAGAAATCTGAAGATACATTTGAGCCCCATTCTCCTACATGCATCACAAGCAGTTACTGTTTATATGTTCAAGAGGAGGCAAAGGTCCAGTGAAGTTAAGTTTTATTTTTTCTATTTAACTAGATGCTTATTTATCAATATCAGGGGTATATTTAAAGAATAAATTAAAAAATTAAAGAAGAAAAGCATTAATATACTGAATGTTCATATATAAATAGGGCTCTACCAAATTCACAGCCATTCAAAAATGCATCCTCTGACGAAATCTGGCCTTTTGTGTGCTTTTACCCTATACTACATAGATTTCACGGGGGAGATCAGCATTTCACAAATTGGGCATTCTGACCCAAAAGGGAGTAGCAGGGGAATCACAAAGTTATTGTAGGGAGGTCACAGTATTGCCGCTCTTATTTCTGTGCTGTCTTCAGAGCTGGGCAACTGGAGAGTTATGGCTGTGTGACGGGGCACCAAGGCCCCGCACTGAGACCCCAGGAGTATGCGCCCTGGCTGTAGAGCCGCGGAGCCCGTACAGGCCGTGCGCCGGCTGCTCCCGGGCAGCGGCTCAGCTGGGTAGCGCCGCGGCTCAGCTGGGAGCCGCCGCGATTCACCAGGGGAAAAGCCCCACCGGACGCAGGAGGGCAGGGGGATCCCAGGTGCCGGACAAGCGACGCAGGGGGCGGGACGCATGGCAGCGTCCCGACGCCGCGGGGGTAATAAAACACTCCCATCGGCAGAGATGGAGGGAAGGCAGCAGGAGAGGGACGGACCCGCCAAGATGGGGGTGACCGCCCAGGACGGCCTTCCGTGAGGGAGTAGAGACGAGGAGCAGAGGTGAACAGAAAGGGGAGGAAGGAAGCAGCCCAGGGCAGGGCGGTGAATTAGCCCGTGGGCTGACGAGTTTAGGGTCACAACCCCGTCAGCCGGACTGAGACTGCAAGACAGTCTAAGTCCTTAGGGCCCTGGACTGGGGCCCGTGAGTGAGGGCGGGCCCAGACCCCCATTCCTCCCCTGTGTCCCCCGAGACCCCGGATTAGGGGACCGTGAGGGGGCATTATATGCCATTAACAGGGCAGGAGTTCCTAACTGAAGGAACTACAGTGACCGTGAACAGAAGTGATGGACAGGACGGCCTAGGAGGGTCCGCCCCATGCCCCCTTGCCAAGGGGACGAGACCCGAGCCCGTCACAGGTTGTAATGTTACCCAGATGCCCCACCCTGAAGGCAGCACCCCACCAGAAGCAATGCAGAAGTAAGGGTTTTACTACCATACTCATGCTGCCCTTACTTTTATGCTGCTATTTTCAGAGCTGAGTGGCCCGAGAGTGGCGGGTGCTAATTAAGAGACTAGATCTGCAGACAGCAGTGTAGAAGTAAGGGTGGCAACACTGTACCATGCAATCCTTACTTCTGTGCTACTGCTAGCAGTTGTTCTGCCTTTCGAGCTGGATTCCTGACCAGCAGCCACTGCTTTCTAATTGTCCAGCTCTGAAGGCAATGCTGCTGCCAGCAGCTGCACAAAAGTAGGGGTAGTAATACCCTACAATTACAACACCATGACATTTCAGATCTGAATATCCAAAAGCATTAAATTTACCATTTTAAAAATCCTATGACTGTGAAATTTATCCAAACAGACTGTGAATTAGGGAGGGCCCTTTCAAGGCAGTTCCCCACTCTGGCACAACGAATGCAGAAGTTGGGGGCCTGCAAGAGCACTCCAAAACCTTGCCTCTACAGGTTCTGGTATAAAATCTTCCTTCCCAAAATCCTAATACCCAGATTCTGGGGAATCCTCTGCCACTTCCCAAGTAATTCCCAGGAAACCAGGGAAGAGATCACTTGGGAAATCTCTTCCCTAAGGTAAAACTCTCTCCCTGCCCTAACCTCCATTTTGCTCAGAGTTGGGAAAAACAGAGGGGATTCACGGACAACGGACTCTGCCCTTGTAACTAGGTGCTAAGTCCTAAGGACAACAATCAATCAATCCCAGTTAATTGGAAAAGAAAACAAGCCTTTATTATCAAAACAAAACTACAGTTGCAAGCATAGTAAAGAGGCTAGATGGAAAGAGCCACCAATTGCGAAAGATACTCAGGGAAACCCCCTGGGCTAAAACTTAGTTACAAAGAAAAAAAACTCTTAAGTTCAGACTTTATTTCCAAATCCCTATAAAAGGAAAACAACAAATCCTGATGGACTATCTAAACTTTTCCCTACTACACATTTTAAGAAGTCCATTCTTGGAGACAGAAGTGTCTCCCATCTTCCTCAGTCTTGTAAGAAACTGCTCTGCCTCTCAAACACAGAAGACAGAGAGGAAAAAACCCTCTCTTCCAGTTTGAAATTCCTACCTACATTGTTATTGGCAGGTCACCCGATACCAGGGTAGGTACAGGAAGCATTAGTTAACCTTTTAGTCACCAGGTGCTAGTCAGCACTCCTGATTATGACAGGCCCAAATGTAAAATATCATAATATAGCCATCATTAGCTGAGCTTCTATACATACCAAGAATGAGCCCTGTTGCATATGGAACATCATCTTTACCAGTGGCAGACTTTGCCTGTTCATTTATTGGAGAATTACTTTGTGCTGTATTTCTGTAAAAAACAAATGTTCAAAACTTAAAATATTGCAGTGTCAAGCATAAAACATACACTTAAATTACTATATGAACTATTTATGAGAAGAAGCTCTTATGATGTTGCACATTACATCACAGGTCATAGCTACTACAATGAGGAAGGGACAATTATCAAAAGTGGGTTTCTATTCTTCTGTGCTTGAAACATCTGTAGCTACCACAGGCACTAATTCAAAGCACATAGACAATCCCGCTGAAGTTGTACTATTCACATACTTAAAGTTATGCATGGGCTTAAATCTTTTGCTGGATCAGGACTATAGCTGTATCCCACTTGCATCTAGTCTGAATGCCAACTAGAGCTCAGAAAAAAAAGTGGGAAGAAAATAATCTTTCTAAAATAAACTCTCATCAAAAAGGATTTGTTTTCCATCCCATCACAAAATTAACCCTCAACCCAAGATGAGCAACAAATTATCTCTTTCTACCAAAAAGAAAAATAAAGCTTCTGCAACCACTTCAAAATAATGACTTTTTTTCTTGTTTTACCAACTTCTAGCAAGAGGACAGAATATCACAATTCTGAGAATATATTAGGGATGTACAAACAGGTTTTTTAAATCATTCATTCATTTTCAGTTCTGTGATTTCTGTGGTCTAGTTATTTGGAATCACATGTATAGAGTAATACACATAACATAATATTTCCTATAGCTGTTGAAATCTGTAGTATGTTGGAACTTCCGTGTATTTCATCTTTGTAAAAGATGTGTCTCTTACTCTATTTTGGCAAGTCCTTAAAGAAATAGAAAAAAAAATGTATCCATGTACCCTAAAAATATCTTATTCCAGCCAAAAGATCCACAAATCCTATTCAGTAATTTTTTAGCCTGTATGTAGCTCAGAAGACAGAACCAGATCTGTCAGTTACATGCAAATAGGGAGCGGCCAACTCACTGAAGCAAAGTTGTTTAAATCCCTCTGAACACTTGTCATGTAGTTTCTCGAATAGGTTCCCTCTCCAGCATTGTCAAGCTGATTTTCCACATGGGATTTGGGAGTGAAATCACAGATGTTATGTCTGCCATATAGTCTGCACCTGGTTTTGCTAGTTGAGCAGAGCTTAGCCACCCAGAAAGCGAAGTTACTCACCTTCGGTGCAGTAACTGTCATTCTTCGAGGTGGTGTCCCCTCCACTAAGGGTGCTGGGCTTGCACAGAAGCTTGTGATGAGCAGTGTTCGGCCGGACTGCGCATGTACCACGGGCTTGCAGCTTTTGCGCTCTTTTCTGTCTCGCGCGGGCCAGCCCCCCGCCAGTTCCTTGAGACCACCCCGGAGTCTGTAAGGGTATGTCTATACTACCACCCTAGTTCGAACTAGGGGGGTAATGTAGGCAACCGGAGTTGCAAATGAAGCCCAGGATTTGAATTTCCCGGGCTTCATTTGCATAAAGCCGGGCGCCACCATTTTTAAATGTCCGCTAGTGCAGACTCCGTGCCGCACGGCTACACGCGGCACGGACTAGATAGTTAGGACTAGGAACAAGAAGTAATGGTTCCTAGGACTAGGAAGCCTAGTCCGAACTACCTAGTCCGTGCCTCGTGTAGCCACGCGGCACAGAGTCCGCATTAGCGGACATTTAAAAATGGTGGCGCCCGGCTTTATGCAAATGAAGCCCGGGAAATTCAAATCCTGGGCTTCATTTGCAACTCCGGTTGCCTACATTACCCCCCTAGTTCGAACTAGGGTGGTAGTATAGACATACCCTTACAGACTCCGGGGTGGTCTCAAGGAACTGGCGGGGGGCTGGCCCGCGCGAGACAGAAAAGAGCGCAAAAGCTGCAAGCCCGTGGTACATGCGCAGTCCGGCCGAACACTGCTCATCACAAGCTTCTGTGCAAGCCCAGCACCCTTAGTGGAGGGGACACCACCTCGAAGAATGACAGTTACTGCACCGAAGGTGAGTAACTTCGCTTTCTTCTTCGGGGATGTCCCTGCGGGTGCTCCACTATGGATGACTGCGTAGCAGTAGTCATCAGAACAGAAGGAGGGCAAGGAGTCCCTATTTATCCACTGTGGAGAGCACGGCAGTCGCCACTGCCCCATCTGAACGAGTGCCTAGAGAAATAGAATAGTGTTTGGTGAAGGTCTCATGTGAGGACCAGGTCGCCATCCCGCAAATGTCCTTCAGGGCTACCCCTCTATGGAACATATAGATGTGGCCATGGCTCTAGTGGAGTGGGCACGTGGTTGGGATGGGAGAAGTAAGCTTTTCGCTGCGTAAGATTGCATTGAGGTTATGAGATTGGAAATCCTTTGGGAAGATAGGTGTTGACCCTTCCACTTCTGTGCCAAGGAGACGAATAAGTGGTCTGTACTCCTGAAAGGTTTAGTGCGATCTATGTAGAATGCTAAGGCCCACCGGGTGTCCAAGGAGTGTAGGGCCACTTCTCGTGGTGAGGCATAGGGCTTCAGGAAAAAGGTTGGCAGGATCACTGGTTCGTTGACATGGAAATGGGAGACGATTTTGGGTATGAATCTTGGGTGTAGTCTCAAGACTACTCCATCCTTACGGAAAATTGTATATGGTGGCATGGCCATCATGACAGAAAGCTCGCTCACTCTGCGTGCTGATGTTATGACAAGCAGGAAAACGGTTTTCAAAGTGAGGAAATGCAAGGATACAGTCGCCAGAGGCTCGAACGGCGGCCTCAATAGGGGATTGAGGACTACATCGAGGCTCCACACTGGTGGGATTGGGTCGTGCGGTGGGGCCATGTTGGCATGGCCCGTGAGAAATCTCTTAGTAGTAGGATGGGCGAAGACAGAAACACCATCTATCGGTGATGTGAATGCTGATATTGCTGCGAGATGCACCCTAATGGAGACTAATGAGAGGCCTTTGTCCTTTAGGTGCAATGAGTAGTCCAGTACGGAGGGGATTGACGGACAGGTCAGATCGTGGTGGTTCAAGGTACACCACGAGGAGAATCTGCGCCACTTGTGAAGGTAAGTTTTTCTCATGGTTTGTCGTCTACTGTATACTAGGACGTGTTGGACTGGAATGGAGCGGAGGGATTCAAATGGAGTCAGCCAGTTAGGAACCATGCTGTTAGGTTCAGGGTTTGTATCTGGGGGTGTTTCAGGCATCCTCGGTCTTTTGTGAGGAGATTGTGGAGAGGCGGAAGGCGGATCGGTGTCCGTGCAGAGAGACGGTGGAGAAAGGTAAACCAGTGCTGGCGAGGCCAGTCCGCGGCTATGAGGATTAACGTTTCCCTCTCCGCCTTCAGCTTCTGGAGGACTTTGGGGATCAGAGGTATGGGGGGGAATGCATAGAGGGAGGGTCCGCACCAAGTCATAAGGAAGGCGTCCCCCAGGGATGCGCGGCCTAGGCCTGCCCTGGTGCAGTACTTGCGGTATTTTGTATTGGCGGCAGTTGAAAAGAGGTCGAGGAGTACCCCAACGTTGGAAGATCTTGCATAGGACGCCATCGTGCATTTCCCATTCGTGTTTCACATGGAAGTGTCTGCTCAGGAAATCTGCCATCACGTTTGTGGTGCCAGGTAAGTAGGATGCCGAAGGTGTTATTCAGTGGCGAATGCACCACTTCCAAAAGTGGATGGCTTCTGTGCATAGGGAACGGGAGCAAGCACCATCCTGGCAATTCACGTTATGCATGGCTGTGATGCTGTCCGTGAGTATCCTCACCGTGGTATTTCGAATGTAGATGAGGAAGGATTTGCATGTGTTGAAAATGGTGCGTAGCTCTAGAAGGTTTATGTGTAGGCGTGTGTCTTGTGGGGACCATTGGCCCTGGACTGAGAGGGAGCCCATGTGAGCCTCCCAGCCTAGTAGGGAGGCATCCGTTGTGATTTGGTGGAGTGGCTCCTGCTGATGGAAAGGTATACCTGACAGCAGGTTTCTGTGGCTGGTCCACCATAGGAGTGATTGGAGAACGCCAGGTGGCGGCGTTACCGGCCTGTGGAGATTGTATCTGGTGTGGTCGTATACGAAAGTCAGCCAGTACTGAAGGGTGCGCAGATGTAGTCTGGCATATTTCACCATGTATGTTGTAGCCGCCATATGGCCCATCAGTCTGAGGCATGTGATGAGTGGAACGGTAGGGCTGACGGTGATGGTGTGAATGAGGTCTTGGTTGGCTCGAAACCTCTGTAAGGGTAGGAACGCTCTGCCGGCAAGTGAGTCCAGGCGGGCCCCAATGAACTCAATGTTCTGAGTGGGGTGCAAAACGGACGTTTGCTCGTTGAGGAGGAGTCCAAGCGATTGGAAGACTTGCCTCGTGAGGTGAACTATCTGGGAGACCTCGTGTGCAGAAGGGCCCTTGAATAGGCAATCATCCAGGTAAGAGAAGATGAATACCCCTTGGTGCCGGAGGAAGGCCGTGACCACGGATAGAACCTTTGAAAACACCCTGGGGGGCTGATGATAGCCCGAAGGGGAGGACCTTGTATTGGAAGTGGTCCTTTGCCAAAACGAAGCGTAAGAACCGCCTGTAAACTGGATGGATAGGGACGTGGAAAAAGGCATCCTGGAGGTCGAGGGCGGCAAACCAGTCCTGTGGAACTAATGCAGGGATTATGGCAGCTAAAGTCATCATTTTGAATCATTGTTTCTTGAGATATTTGTTCAAACGGCGGAGATCTAGGATGGGGTGCCAACCTCCAGACCTCTTCTGGGTGAGGAAATAATGTGAGTAAAAGCCCCTGTTCCTGAAATCCTTTGGAACTGGCTATGGTACCCAGAAAGTAAAGACGGTCGACTTCTAGTTGGAGGAGGGTGTTGTGAGAGGGTTCCTCGTGAGTTGGAGGGATGGTTGGTGGGATGGCTATGAAAAGTATAGAGTAGCCAGATTGAACAATCTCAGAGGACCCATCTGTCTGTAGTGATTTTTGCCCATTGATGTAGAAAGGGCCTCAACCGGTGGTGAAAGAGCTGGGTCGTATGATTCGCGGTGCTGCCTGTGACTGTCTGCTCGCCCCCGACCAACGAATCAAA